AAGCCATGGGCCGGATTAAATAGCTTGGAAGGCCAGACCCGGTCCCCAGGCCTTACTTTGCCCTGGTTGGATGGATGGATGTATGGATATGGTATAGATAGGCCTGAACTAGCACGGAAAGTTTCCCTAAATACAGAGAATTGTTAAAAACTTGGGGAAAAAAAGTTTTGTTTGCTAAACAAATGACTTCAACTGTACATAAGTGAGTAAATTCCAAACTGCAAGTATTGCCATTTTTCACAGGACATGCTCTTTTTACACACAGACTGTGGGTTTTCACAGCGGTCGTCACCAAAATTGTATCCTTTATTGAAACATTTGATGTCTAAAAGTGGAGGTAAATAAGGTTGCACTTTAAAAAAGATTCGGCCACGTTTCATTTCCAGTGTTTGTGCATTGACTCAGCATCTCCTGCCTGTGCCGACTATTCACACTATGATTGGAATATTTCTTTAAGCTTCTAGAGAAGGTCAGAAAAGTAATTAACCTCGTTCTATGTGCATCAACAAAAGCGACGAGACAAGAGTGGCCTGCCTCCTACACGCGCACACTATTGGCTCGGTGAATTCAAAGATACAACCTTAACAAGGCCATTTTTTCAGTACTGTTTTACATTAATTGAAATGGAGAAAACCCTGATTCAAATGTGTCTTCTTTTAAGGTGGCTATTGTGATCACGCTGCAGACGTCAGACAGTTGACAATAACTGAGCATTTCTCGTTAGAGCCTTGATAGGGCTGGGCATCTTTCAGAGGCTGTCTATGCGATACATACCTGTATCTCAAGGCACATGCCATGACACAACGTACATGCAGCAGACTTTTAGTTTTCATACAATTTAATCAAAGATAAAAGGCTTTTAGCCTCTATAATAATGCATCGGTTTTATATAGCACTTTATTGGACACTCAAAAGATGTAATTCTTTCACTCCATAAATCAACTACTACTGTCGCTACAGCTGCCCTGGGGCACAGTGTTAGAAGTCAGACACACAGGTGGAGCTGTGTAGAGCTGCTGCTTCTCTGTGTTGCGGTGGCTAACGCATGTGTTTGGGATGCCTCCCTGATGCTTCTCTGGAGTAGGAGGCCCCGAGGACAATCCAGGACACGCTGGAGGATATCTCTCAGCTGGCCAGAGTTCACCTCAGAATTCCAGGTGGACTCTGGGTGTTTCTGCTCTCTGTTGCCCCCTCAACCCGACAATGGATAAAGAGGAAGAACATGTTCGGTTGGAAGCATAAGGAGAAAGAGTTGTCATAGAGTTGGGTTCAAAAAAGGTCACAAGCCTACGTTTTTGACGCATTCAAGTTGAAATAAATGTTTAAAAAAAAAAGAAAAAATCCAATTCCAACTCATTTCCCCCTTGTTGTTTTTGAGCCATTTTCCGCAGCCTTGTTTGTAATGCATGTGTCGTCCTGCCGTCACTGTGCGCTTTTGATCACAGAAGATGGATATTCACTTTCACGCATCATTTAACCAGAAGATGACAACTGCAGCCAGTAACGTCAGCGCCAACAACAGCCTAACAAATCTCCCCACATGCTCTGCTGTTCTGATCAGCACATCAGGCAAGAGAAAAGTTAAAACCCTCCCAAAGGTGAAGGCTGTAAGTGTTATCACCAGCTCATGGGTGAACCTCGACCCATGAATGAGAGGTGTTGTTGCGAGTCACTACGGCAACGGAAAAGCATACACCTGTTGAGTTGGTTCAATTCAATTTCCTTTTTTATATTTCCTTATTTTACTAATTTGTCAATTTCTCAACAACAGATCAGAGAATCAAACAGGTGGATTCAATCGGTAAAATCCAAATTGAGACATTTTTGGCTATACACACCTCTGCTGCTGTGACCTAAAATGCTGTTGCATTTTAATACTACTACTATTGTTAGCCACTTTTAGAATTATCTATGTATTGGTTTTGTTTGCATGGAAGGATGTGTTTCTGCTGCTACTGGACACCTGAATTTCTCCTATGGGGGATCAATAAAGTATCTATTTTCAGCGCAAGATTTTGCCTGTTCCATTAATCATATCTAAAACAATTCATCAACAAATATTTGAGCCTTTTTGAGTTAATGCATTCTTATTACTATTATTACTTTAAACATAATAAACACAGGGGCTGATTGATTCAGAAAGGTTCCTTTTGTCTTGAATTTGAAAGTATTTTTTGTGCGGTTCTATTGAAAGTTATATGTAGTTCCTTGTTAAAATGTTTGGCTGCAGACTAGAGCTGCAAGTCATCTTCAGAACTGTCACCGTTGTGACGTGTCATTTATCAGCTGACGTAACTTCCTGCGTAGGTAGTAGCTGACCACGCCCCTCTTGCCTGGTGGTCCCTAGAGGGGGGAGACTCACTAGGCACCACGAAGGAACAAGCATATCAGGAAAACATAATCAGATCTGAAAACAACAAAGACAAATGCTGGACAAAAGGAGGCGTTTGTAATCAGGAAGTGGTGCAACAACCGCATCTACCGAGATGAGGGAGCCTTCGTCCCAAGCCCCAGTGATCCAAGATGGCGGCCTATTCAAATCAATGGTTTTTGGTCAGAAGCGCATGGGACCTCTTTGGTAGTGATGTGCTGAGCGGACCGAGTCTTCGAAGCGTGGACCGAGTAATCTGGGGGCGTTTCTTGTGAAGTGTGGGTCGAGGCGTGTATTGGTCACGTGTGTGGTGACGTTCGAAGCCTCGCGTAGCGGCCGCACCACGTGACGGTTCATATAGTGCTTCATATAGTTCGGAGAGTGCATTGCTTTGACAGGTGCTTTGTGATCCGCGGCTGTACCATAGACTGTATTGGCTGTCCCCGTCTGCCTCTGTGTGCGTACGTGTGTGTGTGTGTGCGTACGTGTGTGTGCGTGATGTGGAGCAGTCCTGTACTAAGTATAGAGAAACTACTTCATATGAAATACAATTAAAAACTTTTCACTTTAGTAAAACCTCATATATCAAGGCTTCAAGTTATTAGTAATAATACGCTGGATAACACATTTCACAACAGCTGTGTGGCGCAGTTGGTATATGACGGACTCCGAAGCAGAAGATTTAGCGTTCGAATCCTGGTCTACCCATAATAAATTTTGTGTTGCAAAGTAAATGTATTTATTTATTGGGAATAAATGGTTTGTTGTGTTTAATTAATCCACCTCTTGGTAGTTTTTCCTCCATTAATCACTTTCTGTAGAACTGTATTACTTTGGATGTGTTTGTTGTATCAACACAATTGACTGAAAGACTCAAATAGTTCATAGTTCATGAGGCATCATTTCAAACACAACACGTTAGACCATAGATTGTAAATATACATTTTAACATTAGATCTCACCATTCATTGTAAGCACTTAAGAGTGTTATGTATTTTTCTGTCCACATGATGGCGTAGTGGAGCATGATTCACCTCGAGCCTTCGACTCATGGGCCGAGTAATAGGCTGCGATCCCTCAAGGCTTCATGGGGCTTCATATTGCCATCACTACTCTTTGGGCACCAAAAGATAAGCGGGACTCGACCATATTTGGGCATTAGTCTGGTCTTCCCACTTCTGCACAGTGGACGAGCTCCCATGAAGCTTTACGCTAAATACTAATGTGTGTGGCTCTCCTGCACAGAAGGGCTCTGCCCCGTTCTGACCAATCAGCGGCTGGTGATCAGAGCGGAAGAAAAACGAGCAGAGTCTGTTGCCCCAAAATGTGGATATATAGAAAACGGAAGGATTTAACAAGAAAAAACACTAAAATCCTCACAAAACCCAACCTTTATGAAAGCTATAGTCAGTTTGTGCCCCCCATGCCCATGGGTGGGACAGCTATAAGCTAGTAATACCCTATCCTGTTTAATAAAGATCCATGCCTCCTCCTGGGACCACTGGGTCTGGGCGTGGTCAGTGTGAGGGACCTGTCAATCAGGCTGACCACGCCTACTCAGAAAGGACATGTCCCAGACACTCGCGGCTCTGTAGCCGAAACATATTAACAAAGTAATACATCCAAATTGTCTTTCAAAAGAACTACAAATAAAACAGGGACTGTTTATCGCTCAGGTGCCAGCTTCTTTCTTATCAGTACATCGCCACGTTAAAGACAGTTTTAGGTTTAGACTTTGCACAGATAAAAAACAAGTGCCATCAAAGGTATGGGAGCAGCTGTGGACGAGGAAAGATCTTTCATCACAGCAGAGAATCCTCCCAATTATATGTCAGGGGGTGCAAAATGGGTGGTGGGTTTTAATATGGTTTTATTCATATTTTATGCATGTTGTGTTTGTGTGTTTTTAATATTGATTTTTAACTGGCACCACCTGAAGCACCCCAGCTCCCCACGTGAGCAATCAAGACACCTGCGCCTTGAGAATAAAAGACTGAGATGGGGGGGGGCGGAAAAAAAAAGGGAAAGACACAGAGAGAGGAACAGAGGGCAGAGCCGGTCCAGAGGAGGAGGACATGGGACCGGGCCAAGGACGAGCACCGCCAGCCAGAGACCACGGGGCACTGAGGCCAGCGGGGAGAGCGGCACCGGTGAGGCGCGCATTGATAGTGCATTGGCGCGTGCGCGCCCGGGCTAGGCCCAACAACCGGGATGTGCCGGCTCTCCCCCGCGGGTGCCCGGTGGCGACCCGTGGCCGGCGAGCGGCTGGCGGGACTGCGGCCCGGTCCCGGGACTGAGAACGGAGAGGGAACAAGACACGGGAGCCAGGCGCGTGAGAGCCCCGTGGTCTGGCGGCCCAGGCCGTGGGGACGCATTTTAGCCTGTTTTAGCCTCTGTTTTAGCTTTTTAGCCCTTTCTTTAGCTTAGGTTTTTTTATTGCTTTTATTTACTTGTTTTTAATGTATTTTATAATAAATTGCTTTTAATTCGCTTTTAATCCAGTGGTCCTTTTTAAATCCGGGTCCGAAGAACCTGTTTTTACACTTGTGACATTTTGGCGTTGTCTGGCAGGACCCGGTACCACTGTTTTTTTAATTGCGATTAGAGGCTAGGGCTCCGTGGAGGAAGGATGGGACTGACGCGGCGGAGGCCCTGGGAGAGACGCGGCGGAGGCCCTGGGAGAGACGCGGCGGAGGCCCCGGGAGAGAAGCGGCGGAGGCCCCGGGAGAGACGCGGCGGAGGCCCCGGGAGAGACGCGGCGGAGGCCCCGGGAGAGACGCGGCGGAGGCCCCGGGAGAGACGCGGCGGAGGCCCCGGGAGAGACGCGGCGGAGGCCCCGGGAGAGACTCGGCGGAGGCCCCGGGAGACTCACGGTGGAGGCAAACCCCCTCCCCAGAGATTGAAAGGCGCAGGTGTTCTCTGTTAGCAGGGACTGCTAAGATTAAAGCAGGGGGGAGTGTCAGGGGGTGCAAAATGGGTGGTGGGTTTTAATATGGTTTTATTCATATTTTATGCATGTTGTGTTTGTGTGTTTTTAATATTGATTTTTAACTGGCACCACCTGAAGCACCCCAGCTCCCCACGTGAGCAATCAAGACACCTGCGCCTTGAGAATAAAAGACTGAGATGGGGGGGGCGGACAAAAAGAAAGACACAGAGAGAGGAACAGAGGGCAGAGCCGGTCCAGAGGAGGAGGACATGGGACCGGGTCAAGGACGAGCACCGCCAGCCAGAGACCACGGGGCACTGAGGCCAGCGGGGAGAGCGGCACCGGTGAGGCGCGCATTGATAGTGCATTGGCGCGTGGCGCGCCCGGGCTAGGCCCAACGACCGGGATGTGCCGGCTCTCCCCCGCGGGTGCCCGGTGGCGACCCGTGGCCGGCGAGCGGCTGGCGGGACTGCGGCCCGGTCCCGGGACTGAGAACGGAGAGGGAACAAGACACGGGAGCCAGGCGCGTGAGAGCCCCGTGGTCTGGCGGCCCAGGCCGTGGGGACGCATTTTAGCCTGTTTTAGCCTCTGTTTTAGCTTTTTAGCCCTTTCTTTAGCTTAGGTTTTTTTATTGCTTTTATTTACTTGTTTTTAATGTATTTTATAATAAATTGCTTTTAATTCGCTTTTAATCCAGTGGTCCTTTTTAAATCCGGGTCCGAAGAACCTGTTTTTACACTTGTGACATATACATCACAAATGAGGACTGCAGACACCTTTGAACAAATCACAAATGCACAATGCTTCACTTTCAACCAACTGAAACATACAGAGCGACAGATGCAACAACTTCACCGATCAGGTCCCTCACTTTTACTATTAAGATCAAGTCAAAACATCCCCCGATCACGGAGCTTGTCAGATGTGATACGGTGTCGTGTCAGACTTGTTTTATTTTCTGGTTCAGGAGATTATTTTCTAATGACGTTTGTACATAATTTAAATTCAGCATCTGTCGTTTGGAAAGCCAAAAACTGTCTGTGCTAAAAAGGAGTCTTTTGGATCAGAGCACTCAAACACAAATGTAAGTGTGTCGGATGCATTTTATTTTCTCGACTTTGTGTTAAAGCTGTTGTTTTCACAGCCATGTCTTGAAGCAGTTGAAGATACCAGATAATGAGATGGCATGTCCCTCTCCTGGCATACACTGTATATCATGCAAAATCATGGTTTTGGAGTAGCTTTACAGGACACGACATGGGCACTGAGGAGACAGAGGCCCAAGCACAGCAGGATGTGTCAAATGCATTGTACTTTAGGGGCAATAAAGTTTTACTAAACTTAAAGCCGAGGTGTTTAAATGCACTGTTGACTCGTGATACTCAAAACACTGGTAAATCCAGTCTATTTTATTTCCCATTCCTACTAAAATGTGACGTGAAAGTAATGAGTAAGTAATGAAAGTCAATCAGTGAATGGAAATAATAAAACCTTGAACCTTTGCACTTTCTTGTGTCTCTTTGACGCTTCATCATCAGCTCTGGAGATCAACAGCTGACAGAGGATTGCATTTCCTGTGTTCGACCAGTTTGATTCTCTGATTAGTTGTTGGCAAATCGATAATTTGGTCCTCCGAGACGACTGCTGTTGTTTTGAAATGAATTAACCATGTTACAACATTGTTACCTCATCAAAAACATTTTCAGCTTCATCCATGTTATGACTCAAAACTATAAATAATATCTCTCAAAAAACAACACATACACTGTATTATTCAAACTATTCAGATATCTGGTTGAGCATTTTGCATTACACTCAAATATCCTTGAGAAGATTGTCCAAAACCGGCTGTCCGATTTATATAAAATATATTTGCTCCAATAAACAATGAGATACAGTTTGATATAAAGCCTGATTACAGATATCTAACAACAGCAAAGTCATGGAGGCAGTACGTGATGTAACTGGACACTGAGTTGTTAGTTGTTTCAGAGCATCCTAATCCTGCAAATGGGAGACGTGTCTGGTGAGAATGCTGACCTTGCATGGCCACATACAGTATTTACAGAGCACGAGTCTTGATTATTTGTGGCACCACCTGCCAATGAGCGCCAGGGCAGGGCCTGGTTAGTACTGTGATGGGAGACCTATGGGAACACCAGGTACAACAGTGGGGCAGATGCAGCTGTAAAGTGCCAAACTGTTTTTGTGTTCTTAGACATGACTTCACCGAGCCTGGCTCTCGCAAGACCCTTGAAGTTCCGCCATGCTCCACCAGAGGTGTCTGGCTGAACCACATGGGTCTGGTATCGAGGCCATAGCAAACTCCTTCAGCAGATTAATTTCTAATCGACCAATCAGGATCGCCGGTGTTACGTGGGGGGGTTTGCACCGCCTTCTCAAGCGTGTCTCACGCAGCAGCGAAAGTGTCCAAAAAGAAAAGCGCTATATAAAACCAACGCATTATTTGTTTACATGTTCTGCAGTAGTTTGATCGGTTGTGTGTCTGGTACAAGTTTGGACCAAATTAATCCTGATGACACAATCTGTGACATGTAAATTTCTCCTCTGTGAGATAAATAAAGCACATCTTATCTTATCTTATCTACCGTTTAGGATACTTGTACAACACGAAACTGTGATAATGATGATGGCTGCCTCAAGAATTCGGCCATCAAGAAAATGAAGTTGAATAGCTCTGATCAATAGAAGGGAACAGAAAGGACCTTAATTTCATACAGTACACAATGATAGATGAAGCGGCAGGTAAAAGTAGACCGGGATCTTGAGGCCCACAGACGATTCAAACATCCTTGACAGGAGAATCCTTCACGCAGCTTCAAATAGCACATTCCCCAGTGTTTTCTTCAAATACATTGTTCACCTTTTTTTCAATAAAAGTCAAATACTGCAATCAACCATAAACGCATTTTATTCTCTTCAAAAATCCTTCAACTCACAATCTTTTATTAGACAAAGATCACAAACAGATGAACAATTTCATTTCATAAGACACACACAAGATGAGGCAGTGATGAATCAATATTACGGAGGAGTTGAAGGTGACTTAAAGTTTAGAATGTTGCAATTGAGTATTTGTGTGTGTGTAATATCTGAAATACTCATGAGCAATTAAGTGCAATCCATTGCTATGTGACTCACTCAGTAAAAATGATAACAGTATTAAAAGTATTATTCATTCGCAGGTTTGTATCAAACTCAAAAAAGCACACACAATGTCAAGACTGGAGATATAAGCATACACAAGAAACAAGGTGTATATTGGGTTTTTTTAAGGAATTCATCCATCATGTGTAGTTTGCAAGCCCCGGTGATCCAAGATGGCGCCCTATTCAAATGAATGGCTTGTGCTCAGTAGTGCATGGGACTTCACGGAGACCGGGAGATTAGCAGAACTCGCCTATATTTGGGCATCGCCTGGCTGTGTGGCTCTCATGCACGTGCACAGAGGGACTCGGCCACCTGACCAATCAGAGCAGCAGCAGAGCGGAGTCAGCGCAGGAAGGAAAAGAGCAGAGGGACTTTTTTCTGGATAGCCAACGTGAATTTAGTTTGCAGTACCACGGGTGTCGCCTGTGCCCATGGGTGGGACAGCTTTAAGCTAGTAATACCCTATCCAATTATTATTAAAGATCTATGGTAATTTGTGCTAATTTTTTCACAAAACATGGTCTTGAGTAGTGATATAGTATTGGCTGATTTTTTACACATCGTATAGGTCAGGTGTCAACATAGTATCAATGTGAAAAGGCCAATAATTTTTCCACTCCATTTTGAGGCACTGGTATGACGGGGTGATGCTTGTATAACGGGGTGATGCTTGTATGACGGGGTGATGCCCGTATAATGGAGGGGGCTAGTGAAGTTACTGCTGTGCTCTCGCCGTACCGTCGGTGTGTAACATCACAAATGCTGGTTTACAGACTGTTTACAGGTCAGATATTATGTGGCGCGCTGTGTGAGAGCGGCATATGGACAGACGTTTTTGGTCCGCGCTTGTACCATAGACTGTAAGCTAGCACATGTGAGGGATACGTAACGGTCAGGCGTATTCCACACCAGGCATTATGGGTAATGTAGTCTTTTCAAGATTCAAGACTCAATAATGCAATAATTGTTTATTTATTTTTCCAGGATCATGACATGGGGTCTGAATGGTTTAAATTGATAAAATGTCAAACACAAGTTATTAGTTCATTTGAACAAGTCCCAAAAGAAGGATGAGTTTCATCCAACTATAGTCATCCATCCATCCATTTTCTTCCCCTTAATCCATTTCTGGGTCGGGGGGGGGGGGGGGGGTCGGGGGGGGGGGGGGGGGGGGGGGGGGGGGGGGGGGTGACAGTCAGAGCAGCACCCAGTACACACTGCAGGTGGTGAGTCCACAGGAGCTGAGATCTTTCAGTGGGGCTTCAGGCAAAGTGGGGTTAAGTGTCTTGCCCAAGGACACAACGACAGCAGACATCAGTGGGAGTCGTGAAGTAGGTCTTAAGGGTGGGCTCGAACCCACAACCTTCAGGCCCAACGGCGACAATTTTTACATTGGTGCATCCCTGATTGCAAAACAATTTTGGTCCGCTCTTAACCTGGACACAGGGTGGAGGCTGGTGTGCTCCTGCTGGGTTGGAATGAAATCCTGCAGCCACACCGGCCTTTGAGAAACCTGTTTGACACCCGTTGAATAGAGTTTTATTTTAGCAGCGCGACTACTACAGCCTTGACACGTAATAATTTTTCAGGGTCATATTTCTCGAAATGTCTTTTCTCCTTTAGATTAAGTTACTTGATAAGCGTTGTCATGGATATTAATTACGAGGTGTCTCCTGATCTACATGGCTGCACCCGTGTTATTATGGAGTAGAGGCATGTCAGAACGCTCCCGCCGCCTTTCTCCCCCTCACACTTCATCTAAAGCTTTGTTCAAATTGACAGCAGCAACCTTTGATAAGAGCGCTGGAGCATCCACCAACACCAAA